GTTTGTGTCAAAATGTAGGCTTTTCACGTATGATTGCAGAGCGATATTACTAGATGCAACATATACATTCGCACGCGAACGTATACGATTTTGCTTTTTTTGCAACGAAAATCACGACGCATCTTATTTTTCGCATCATATGGTCGATTATTACATTTACAGAGGAGTGCAAATTTCCGGTTTCACGAGGCAGAACGTCGAAGATCCGCGCGGGCCGAACGCTTTAAACTTTAGACGACTTTTAGCGTAGTCTATCGAAGCACCAAGATCACGTGCTAGCCAGGAGAAAAACCCGAAACTATACTCACCATCATTTCGATCGGATCTGCAACAGAAAAAGGTTGACGCTTGGTTAGTTGCGGTCCACTTTATCTTCTTCTCCTCGTCTCTTCGTCCTCTGCGGGTCCTCCTCGACCTCCTTTGACCGCGCTGGCCGATCGCAGGAGCCGAGAGACTTCCTCTTCTTGCTGTTGATGCTGCTGTTCTGTGATCGTCGTAGACCGAGCGGGCCCTTATATACTAGGCCCTTCCTTCTTCGATGTGCATGGGATCGACGGGGGGAGCCCTGCCCTTCAGCAGGGCCCTGGGAAAACGATCGGCACAATGTTCCTTTTCAAACGCAGCCCCCTTCTTGTCGGCTCTTGCTCCCCTCGTTGAAGAAGGAAGAGATCGCACCAGAGACGAAAATATTCTTGATCCTCGAACGGGATCCTCTGGTCCTTACCTGTTTCCACGTTGCGTAACGTACGCGACGCGTCGGTTTCCTCCCTCAGAATTTTTGCCCCGACGCGAGGGATGCTAGTCACCCCTGAAAATTGTGAAGGGGGCGAAGATGCCCAGGTGCCTCAAGCTGGAAGATAAGTCGGGCACTTTTGAAAATTCGCTGCCATGGCATAGAATTTTTGTCGAATGCTTTTTACGAAGGAAAAGATTCAAGATGCGCGTGAAAAATATCTCCAGATGCACGATTATTATTTTAGTCTCGTCTGCTCGCAGGAGATTTATTTTAAACGGACTTTCTCGAGTGACATAAGAATTTTTATGCTTCATATCGAGAGAAGAAAGAAAAAATAAAAATATTTTATAATTAAAATCACATACATTTCTTTATAATTAAATGAGAACGATATAATTAAAAGAGAAAACGATTATAATTAAAAGAGAACGATTTATTGAATATTGTCGCTACGTGATCGTCGCTCGAAAAATTTTAAATGGCTGAGTATTTTTAAATGCCACATCATGCTTTCGTATCTTTACTTCGATAATTATACTTGTTGTCCATAATTAAAGTTTGCAAATTTTATTGTTGAGGATTATATAAGAATGTTATATGATTTGAACAACAACATTGCAGATTTAAAGTGAGACATAAATATCGTTTCGATAATTATACTTGTTGTCCATAATTAAAGTTTGCAAATTTTATTGTTGAGGATTATATAAGAATGTTATATGATTTGAACAACAACATTGCAGATTTAAAGTGAGACATAAATATCGTTTCTATTTAACATGTGGAATTTCAACGAAACCGTTATTCCTCGTGCATCCCCTTTGTACGACGACACGAGAATTATACCGGTTTACGACAGCTAAATCGATTTTTCCTTTTTTACATATCTCAACGATTTCTTTAACCCTTTGATAGTCATAGGATCCAGTTATGTGAATCTCATCCGTTGACCGTTTCTTCTCGCAGAGGAAACGTTCCCCATTTCCTTTCTCTCACCCTTTTCGAGTTTTCCATTGATACGCGTGCAAAACTCGCTCCAAATATACGTAAAAAAGATGACATATCGCGAGAACTATTTTATATTCAATTTTCCCATGGAGATTATTAAGAATTTAAATTTTCTCGATATATCCAGAGAGCAGAAAATAAAGAAATATTATTAAATAATTTAATTTCTTGCTAAATAAAAATCCCTGTCGTATATAGATTATTTTCTATTATCGTACAGATGATTTTCTATCCACACATACACTTATCTCTTTTAATTATATTTATTCTTTATTTTTTCACTAAATTATATGTTGTTTAATCTTTTTATTTGTTATTTTTTCAATTCTCTTATTTCTTCTTTCCATTAATATACTTTCCATTATATATCGCGATCAGGGTGGAGTACAAACGGTTTTTAAAAGCACCGACACGCGCCACCCGCAGCACACGATATGCTTCTAATCGAAATTGATTTCTCGACAATTCAGACAAAATCGACGTGAATCATACGGCAAGAACATTTAAATGAATTCTTGTCGACGTGCGTAACGTTAAGTATGCGGGTACCGACTAGTCATCAGGGGGAGATTACTGGGGTAGATAATTGGTTAATGACTCTTGGTTCTCATCTTTTTCTCAGTGTGTTCAATACAAGGTGATCAATTCATTTTCGCTAATAAATTAGAGTTATTTTACGAAGGAATACCGTGATACGATATCGAGATCCGTTCTTATAGTACTGATATTCGAAAATAATTGATAGTGAGATTTCTCTCTTTCTTTTTTAATCAAATAAGTAAATAAAAAGAAAAAATGTTATATTTTACAGAAACATTCATTTTGTCGCAATTCCGATGTAGAATTACAAATCAGAATCGATTTACACTAATTTGTAATAGAAGTTTATATAGATAATGAAAAAATTAGACACAAAAATTTGAAAAATCCTGCAAGATATAATTTCAATTTCTATTCCCCTATTTTCTGCTTCAAAAATTGCTTTTTTGAAGTATAAAAGATAAGTAAAAAAATTGCTATTCTAGCAATTTAGCATCTTCTGGAATTCAATACTTATAGTTTTTATAAAATATAAAATCATTTCCTTAACGCGACGATTCTAAATATCTTTATTGTTACTAATAATAAAAATAAAATTTGGGAAAGAATTGCTCATTTGTCTCAAATAACACTGGACAAAAGTATTTTTGAGATGTCACAATTTTCTCAATTCATTTCAATGTTTAAGCTTTTTTGGATAGAAAATTATATTTTTTCTTTATTTCATTAAATCGATTTATGTAACGTGATCCGTGAATTATCGTAATGTCGCAATTATTTGTTGTTATTTCCGATAAGGCAGATGGCCGGAACTGCAGTCCAGTTTCTCGACGTGACCCAGGTAGTTATTTATGCAACACTTAACGCGCGACCCAAGGGGTGGCTATCGAATCTGGGGTGGGAAACGAATGTGCTACGGCATTTCTGCATCCCCTGCATTCTCACGCAAACGTCGATACGTATGAAAAGAGCTACCTGTGCAAGAGTGTCATTTTTCAGACAGGTACATACATGTACATATGACTCGTTCATTTTCATTGTGTGATTTTTATCGTGACGTCATCAATGGACAGGGCGCGTCATGATGTAACGGTTTTGATGATTGCCTCTTTCTTTTGCCTTTATATTAATTTATAAAATAATTTATAAATTCACGCTAAAGACAAATATATTCATTTCATCCATTTTTCAATTACTGCTGAAACAAAAAAGAATACCAAATAGATAGTAACATATCATAAATAAAGAAATATATTACCGCACACATTTAATTAATTTAATATAACTATATTTTTTACATTAATGAAAAAAATAAATATTAAAAAATAGACAATTTTATATGCCACACATATATATATATATATATATATATATATTATATATATATATATATTATATATATATATATATATATATATATTATATATATATATATATATATATATGTATATATATATATATATATATATACATAGTTAATCAATTTAATATGCAATAATTTTAAATAAAAAAATTCTATTGATAGTTAAAGAAATGCTGGAAAAGATAATCTTATGCAAAATATTTTCTTTCTTCTAATTTAATGTAATCATATTATTTAAAAACTATGTATTTCCCTTTATCGTAATCTATTTTGATTTTGTTAAATTAAAAATTTAATTAACCGTATGTATATATACATATACATAGAATTGTAAATATCCATTACTATCTTTTCATTTGTTTAATTTAAAAATAATGCTTTTTTCTTTGCATAACAATGCAAAGAAATTAAAGATTCGCGAATATATTCATAGTTTAATCTAGGAAGAAAGGGAGAAAGAAAAAACGTGCGCTATTTCTTGAGCCCTTTGACCTTTCGGACCCTCTGGGCCTCCCTGATCCCGATCCGAAACTACTGGTGCTATTGCACAGTCGCCTGGTTTCGAACATTTCTATACTCACATCTGCTTTATGTTCTCACGCTATTTTCTTTCCGTCATAGAACCTTCGAGTAACGATAACGAGTTTTATTATTCGAATTTAAGAAATTAAATCATAATGTTAAAAAAATGTAGAAAATATCAATTTCTTTTATTACAAAATTTAATTTAAAAATTATATATTTTTGCAATGTATTTTTTTGTCTAATTGTACACATTTATAATTTTCTCGTTACTCGTATTCTATAATATAAACTAATAAAACGTCTAAAATTCTCTTTATAATTTATGAATTAATAAATATAATAGCTGTAAATCTTAAGCAATTGACACAAAAATTCTATTTTCTATTTTATTATAATAATATATATATTTCGAGAGAAAATAGAATTTATTATTATAATAATATATGTTCACTTACAAAAGTTATTTTATAAAAGACATTAATTTTAATAATCTTAGTACTTAATGAAAGTAATTAATAACATTAGCAAATTAGAAAGTAATTAATAACATTAGCAAATGCTAACAAAAAATTTATCTTGTCTAATTTATTTTTAAAAAAATTACTTATAAAGCAAAAAAGAAAACTTCTACGACTTTTCATTTTAGAAATTATAAATCATATGTTTGCAGGAAAAGAAATAGAAAAGATCTTAAGATTTATTGCTATCTTAATTTTATAAACCGAGATTTCTCAACAAACCTTTCATAGTAATGCAGTAAATAACTATTTAAAAGATGAAGGAAAAATGGGAATGTCACAGCAAGATGAATATAAATGAGAAATAAAATACTTCAATATTTTTATATTTAAGAAATCATACATATGATTCGGGAAATTCGAATGTTACATCCCGCCCAGTCAATTGTTTATACACCGAAGCAAAAGTATCAACCTGTCAAAAGATAAATTGAAACATAGTTATATACATGATAAGAAAAATATGCAAATAATATTCTATATAGAAAAAAAAAATATATATATACCTTATGCTCGATGTTTGTTTGCTCGTTTTTGTCCAAATGGACTTTAATAACTTGAGATCCATCAAGTTTCACTCTAATACGTTTGCCTACAATTTCCACAGGATATACAATATCCTCCAATAAGGCATCATAAACAGAGGTCAATGTCCGGCTAAACAAAAAACAAATTACAAAAAATTAATTAAATTTAATTACATTCAAATAGAAAAATTATATATTGAATGTCTTTTGTAGAATATTTACAAAATATTCTACAAAAGTTTTAATAAAATCAAAATATATGTGAATAGTAGAAAAAATAATTAAATTACATTTAATTTATATTTAATCATATAAAAGCACAATTATTATTAATATATATTAAATATATTTTTTTTACCTTCTAGGACGCTTTTGTTTATTCTTGGTACGAGTTTTCCTCGTCGGTTTTGGTAAAATTTTACGTTCTCCAACAAACATTACATGTTTCCCAGAAAATTTCTTCTCTAATTCACGTACTAATCGTGTCTGTATCTTTTGAAATGCTTTTAATTTGGGCATGGGAACGTAGATAATTATAGACTGTAAAGAATAAAATCACTTTAGCATGCAATTTTTTCAAAAAGTATTAAATAACAATATGCTAATAATAAAATATGTTAGGGAGAAAATCTTACCTTCTTATTATTTGTTTCTAATTCTTTTGCCTTGGTAATATAAAGTTCTCTCAGGTGCGACTTTAAATCGCTATTCATCTCCAATTCCAGAAGAGCATTAGAGATGCTCGCCTCGAATTGGTCGGGTTCGGCTCCACCGCTTTTAATTATTTTAGCGTTCGCCGTGAACATCTGAAAAAGTTTTGAGGTTAGACTATTGTTTATAAAAGTCACTTACATGTCCGTGAAAAATGTATTTGTCGAAAAGTTTTGCAATAATGTTAGCTTATGTGCAGATCTCGTATAAATGCCAAAACCGACTGTTTAATGTGAAAATAAATGTTAAATACAGCACTATATGTAACGTAACGTGACATGAAACCTGATAGAATCCAGCATAATCAATATCGTGGATCTATCATCTGAGAAAGATATTGAAAGATATACATTTTACGAGACTTTAAATATCATATGACGTAAAATTTCATATTTTTTTAAATATTTCAGAGCCGTAAAATTAAATGTTCAAAAACACGCACCTTGCTCACTTGACAACCGTGAAAAAAAGGAATTAACGTAGATGTACAACTGATATGTGGATATTTGCACGTTTTTTCTGAGTTTTGATCTCGTCAGAGGCCACTAGTGTAGCTAGTACATTTTTTATTATCCAATTGGTACAAAACTTTTTTTCGCGTGTGGTAACACTGTCTATCGAGCGAACATAGATTTTATAACCTGAAAAATAAAAAGTCTCTCCTTATCGCTCCTTATTTGATATTAAAATTAAGTAGTATTACATTGCAATATAAATATTTTCTTATATAATTGATAAAGACAAATCCAAACTTTTATTTGATAATTTTGTCAAATATCTCGAAACAATTATATATATTTATGTAGATTCAATTTATGTTCAATAACAAATTTTTCTCAGCATAGAAATTATTTTAATGTAAATAATACTTAGTTATTTATAAATAATTGCGTATAATTTATTCAGTAAACATTTTTATATATACTACTTAATATACATATATAACTAGTTTATATAATAAATAATAATATAATGGATGCAGCAGAAGGTTTACATGATTCTTCAAACAAAGGTATAAGTTATAGTATAATTATAATTTAAATTTTAGTATATTTATAATATAACTTAAATTTTTAATATTTTCTGCTTAATAATAATTTACTTTTTTCTTTACAGTCGCCTTAGTAGAAAGAAATATTTTGCCACAAGGTATATCGTTAATCAATCCAACTGCTGTAGCAAAATCAAGTCGGCAGGATTTGATAGCATTAGTAACAGAAATTGAAAAGGTAATAAAAGATAATTTTAAATAATTATAGATAATTAATTATTTAGCTGGTATATACATATTATATGTATGTTCAATCTCGATATATTTCCTAAATTGTATATTATTTTTTTATATAGGCAGATATGTATGTAAAAGCTAATACATGTAATAAATTACAAGTGATCGCAGAACAGATAAGATTTCTGCAAAAACAAGCTGAGAGTATCCTCTTGGAAGCAGAACAAAATGTAAAGTTACATCATGCAGCTTGTAATTTCATAAAGCAGCCTGGTCATACATATCACTTATATCAACGTGAATCAGGGCAGGTTTATTTCTCCATGCTTAGTCCAGAGGTAAATAATACTTTTCTGTATTACTAATTAATTTTATAAATATCAAATATTAAATTTCTATTAATTCAATATTTTGCACTTTTGTTTAAAAAAGGAGTGGGGTAATTCTGCACCATCGCAAAGTTACATAGGTTCTTTTAGATTAGAACATGATCAATCATGGACTCCAGTATCTAAATTGCAGGCAAAAGATAATGAATTAAATCTGTTTAAAAACTTATTATCTTCTAAAAATAAGATTACAAATACTATTTTGCAAGATGTTATAGTAAATACTAATACTTAATAAATTTATTGTTATAATTATTTAATAAATGAAATTACTTAATAGCAATTTTAAGAGAAATTTAAATGATACTTAAGCCAATACATGAAGCATTAATGTTCATACTACAATATTTAAAAAATATATATATATATATAATATATATATATATATATATATATATATATATATATATATGTAGTATATGTAAAATAAAACATATATTACTGCTAACAAATTTCATTAGGTTAAGAAATATTATATATATCATGTAGCACAAACATTAATGTTTAGTATGCATTGACTTAGATATCTTCATTTACATAATTATTTAAGTTGGAAAAAAATATAAATTAGAATTGAAATTAATATAAGAAAATATGTGATACTATTTAATTGGTTTTTAATCTCTTTGTAAAATATATATTAAATTTCTTTAGATATATTCATAAAAATATAAGGATAGAATAGATGATACAGATAATAGAGATTTCTATTCTTCTGATATAATTAGAATAAGTTTTATATATTTATATAATATATATATATATATATATATATATATATATATACATATATAATTTTGAAGTTCTATGTTATTATATACACTCATTGAAACAATATTTTGTATAAGATTAAATTGTATCATAATATTTTAATTCTATTGGATATTTGATTGTGCAATTAATTAACAATATCTTTGCAATTATATGCAATAACATGTATATCGGATAAGAAGTATGCAATTATAAACTAATTATTATCTTTATTCATAATGATCTTTGTATGACTGCAAAAAGATCAATATGATTCTTAAAATAATAATATATTATCTATTTTATATAATTATACATTTCTAAAGGCAGTAGGTAGATTTGTGTTCGATTTTGCTTTTACCATATGATATCTGGAATACAATTTCCATGAGCAAAACGAGTTTATAGCACATTTATATACTATTTAAAAAATTTTTAGTTTATATATATAAAATATATATACTAAAAATTTGCATGTGTGTGTGTAAATTATACATACATACATATTCACATATGTATGAATTTCTTTTAGCATAACTAAATGTTTATGTATGATACAGTTTATCTTTCTACAGAATGCTTAAAATCTTGCAAAAAATATATAACATATTCCAAATATTACATGGCTATTTTCACCTAAGAAACTATTTGACCACAAAAAACAGTATCAATATATAAGCATAAGGATCAATGAACACTTTTAATTTTTTTGCCCTTTATATAAAATTAAAGAATGAACAAAAAATCTACATCTGAAGTAATGTCGATCATTAACGAGGACTGCGATGACTGCGTTTTGGTTTTGATGTTGAATGCATATGTCAAGTGGTATTTACTTTATGTGCTGAAACATATAAATAAGGTATATACATATTACCAATTATTAGATACAGATTTATTTTTAACAAATAAGTAGTCTTACATGAGATTGGTATCCTGAGCGGTGCATCATCGCGTATAACACATTCATGCGTTTGAGTATGGAAGAGATATTGTACTAAGAGCTGCTTATCTTCTCCCACACATGGATCATAAAATCCAGGTAGTTGACTCTGCAACATTTTATACAGGGAATTATATATATATATATATATATATATATATATATATATATATATATATATGTAATTTATTTATTCAATTGCACGTTCATATAAATTGGAAGCAATTTAGTTATTTATAATTATAAATCTAATTAGAAATATTATTGCAAGAAATAGGAAATAAAGAGGTAGAAACGAAAATTTCTAAAAGAATACCTTAGACGCCTTGTGAAGAATCAATTTAGAATCCTTGACCAAGCATTGTAAAGGAATAGTTACATCTATCATCTCATCCCTATGCCCACTCTCCTCCGTAGTAGTTCGATCCTGTTGAGGATAAACAAACCGACCATATAAAGCTTTTGTAATGATTAATCCTTTTTTGGATTCTTCTTCGGCTCTTATTCTGCTGACGGTTTCTTTCATTAGTTCAGTGGCAGCTTTGGCCTCTCTTTGTTTTTCCATCATTCTAGATTTGTTTAACTCTCTCTGTTTCTCCTTTTCGCGTTCTTTGCGCTCCTTTACCACGGGATCAATTATCAGCTTTTTAATGACTGTCCAAGTGATTATAGGTGCCACAGTGGCGTAAAAGACGGGAGCTGGTAAAACCTCGTCGCATAGGTGAATAGGGAACGTGTATGATTGCGAGGCGCGACTTAGTCTAATTTTTAACGTGACACCGGTTGGCACGCCGACGCGTACAGCTGCTGAGACGGAGCTGTGTTTGGAGACTTTCTTCTCTGCGCCGTATTCAAGAAACGCGCCAAATGTACCAGCTCTAAATAAATTAAAGAAAATCGATTATACACAAAACTTAATGATGATAGATAAAATTCGATAACATTCGGCGATACTTACTTGACACTACCACGAAGCTTAAGTTGCTTCTCTTCCATTTTATAAGTATAGTTAAGACTAACAAAAGAATGTATAAGCCCGAAATGTATAGAAAATGACGTATACGACCGAGATGTGTCTCTTACAATCATGGTGCTCATAGCACCTTGAATGCCAGCTCTGTATGTGAGGTATCCAACTGTATGCTTATCTAGCTGCATTGCAAGAGCTATATAAATAAAATATTTCTGTAATTTAGATTACACTAAAAAAAATTTGTTAATTATAATGTGCAGATAATATAGGAATGTGCATTATGTTATTACAATTATATTCAGAAAACGCATATGCAAGTTAACATACTTCCAACGTAACCAGCTTTCACGCCATGTGACGTAAATTGTAACATTGTCGCCCCGTCGCAAAACAATCGTTTTGTCAACGTGCGAAATCCTTTGAGAGAAAACGTTGGACCATTGCCAGCTCCCATCTCGACTTCAACCCAACCCCTGGAAGATATCAATCGTTTCGCAGAAATGTTAAAAGATCCGGATCCCGTACCGTTTTGGGTTCCGAGTTGACCAGACATAGTCACAGTATCTCTCAGAGTGAGAGGTGTTTCAATAGATTGTGCAAATGACATCCCACTAACTTCGATGCAAGAAAACAGGCCACTGCTGAAATAAGATTCACGATCTTTATAATTAAGTATTACAAATTTTAATTATTGAGTAATCAATTAAAAAAATATTAATTAATTAAATTCTTTTATCAAGTAATTGTTTTTACTATGTTTTTTATTTTTATTGTAATAATTTAAATTGATCAATCTTACCCATTGTTGTAATCATCGTCGTATTTACTAAAAATATCAGTGGCATTGATGTTTACTGTTACAGTGCCTTTGGGATTTGTATGCTGCTGCAAACGTCTCTCTTCTCTCTCCCTCGCCAGCCTCTCGTATTCCTCGCGGATCTCTTGAGGCGTTTTTGTACGCTGTACAATTTCCCATCCTTCCGTTTCTAATCCACGAATTCCCAGCGAATCATAAATTGCTCTTTGATGCGGATCGCTCAACACTACACAGCCAAGTATTTACTTAAAAGTCTGCACAATTATACGACAAAAAATATAATATATATGAAATATCTTGGGTTGAAAATCTAATGTTGCAAGTAAGTCAAACATTTTATTTTTTAATTAGTTGTCATATATGATAATAATGTAAAATTCAAGCTATTAGCTATAATATAACAAAATAATAATTCTAAAATAATGATATTTTTCTGAAAAGAATATATGTATAAATATCAACATTAAACTATGATACAAACCTTCATACGCTTTTTTTGTACGATTAAAAAGGATCTCCGCTTCCTTTTTAAGTACTGGATCTGTATGCTTGTCAGGATGGTAAAGCTTACTTTGTCTACGATACGCATTGCTAATTTCTTCAGGACTAGCCTGGAAAGTCAAAACAAATTTTTATGCACAGAAAAAAAAGTATTATGATTGCATGATGCAATGATGAAGCAATTGTTAAAGACAAATTTTTATGAGAGAGAGAAGACTAAGAAGGATAAGATTGAAGCAATAATCATTTGTATATAATGCAAGAATTAAACAGATTTGCCTTTAAAGAAGAAAAATTTACAGAAGAATGAATATTTGGGGAGGAAAGATATCGGAGATAAAGTGGAATGACGATATCGATTTGCGTTGCTAATTAATTTTCAATGTTTAATATCCGCAAAAAATCATATTTTAATTATGAAAAAGTAGTTTCCTGCGGTAAAGAAACTATTACGTCAGCTAAGGGTAAAGGTGTCACGTGGAGGACCAGAAATCGTTTCTCTACCTCCTGTGAACCGGGTAAAATTATCAAGACAATTACAACGAGAATTGCTCACATTTCTCGGGATATTCAGGAAGGTGTAATAATCGTCCTCGATCGTGCTTTCCTGATCACTCTCGTCGTCCATTTTAAAACTTGCGAATTTTGTCTGACGTTCAATAAGTCAGTAGGGCTCGCGCGATCGCCTGTATTTTCTCAGCTTTTTATAGGTTACGATACAGAATTGAGAGAGATACATGTAAGAGCGAGCCGGTAAATGATATCACATCGTTTACCGACCCGCAAATCGATGTGTATCGATTTCCCTGGATTTTTCGTTAGATGGCGCTTGATGCTCGAGATTGTGAGTGATTGCGACTCTAAACATCAGATGTAGACACAGTTTCGAATTATCGATAGTTCAAATAGTTAGTCAACGTATTTTATTTGCAATTGGCTCGCAACCTGCATAATTCTAGAGCGTTAATGTGGTATCGTATAATTTAATTTAAAGACTTAATTGATTGTGTGTTAAATTCTTGTAAAAGAAATGTTTCAACTTTTGTAATTACAGAAAAACATTTCTCTTCGGGCAGGTCAACGGTTTAAAGGATTCTCACCGCGATGGCTGCTGGCGATTAAAATTACAAACACCCGCCAAAATCTCAAGATTGAAATTAATCTACAAACCTTCGCAAAAGATGACAGGTAAATATATATAATATAATTATTTAAATAATATTAAATTAAATAAATATAAAAATTATCTAG